AAACACACTCCACACACATCTTCTTTACTCATTTGTCTGTTGCTGGGCATTTGGGTTGCTTCAGTATTGTGGCAATTGTAAATAGTGCTGCTATGAACCCTGAGTGCATATATCTTTTCAAATTAGTTTTTTTGTTTTTTTTGCTGGATATATACCCAGGAGTGAAATAGCTGGATCATATGTTAGTTCCATTTTTAGTTTTTTGAGGAATCTCCATGCTGCTTTTCATAGTGGCTCCGCCAGTTTATTTATTTATTTTATTTTATTTTTTTGTCATTTTTTTAATGTTTTATTTTGTCTTATTTATTTTATCTTTAGGGGAGGGGGAGGGAGGTAATTAGGTTTGTTTATTTATTTTTAGAGGAGGTACTGGGGATTGAACCCAGGACCTCATGCATGCTAAGCATGTGCTCTACCCACTTGAGCTATACCTTTCCCCCCCACCAGTTTATATACCCACCAACAATGTACAAGGGTTCCCTTTTCTCCACTTCTCCAACATTATTTGTAGACTTTTCAATAATAGCCATTATGACAGGTGTGAGGTGATAACTCATTGTTTTGATTTCCATTTTCTCTAATAATTGGTAATGTCAAGTATCTTTTCATGTGCCTATTAGCCACCTGTATGTCTTATTTGGAAAAATGTCTTATTTAGGTCTTCTGGTCCTTTTTTCACTGGGTTGTTTGTTTTTTCAACATTGAGTTGTACAAGCTGTTCATATATTTTGGACATTAACCCCTTGTTGGTTATATCATTTGCAAATATTTTCTCCCATTCTGTAGGTTCTTTTTGTTTTGTTGATGATTTCCTTAGCTGTGCAAAAGCTTTTAAGTTTAATTAGATCCCATTTAAAAATTTTTGCTTTTATTTTTTTTTTGCCTTAGAAGAAAGATCCAAGAAAAATTGCTATGATTTATGTCAAAGAGTGTTCTGCCTATGTTCTCTTCTAGGAGTTTTATGGTTTTAGTTCATGCATCATGGTCTTTAATATATTTTGAGTTTATTTTTGCATATAGTGTGAGGAAACATTCTAATCTCATTGTTTTATCTGTAGCTATCCAATTTTCCCAGCAACTTTTCTGCCAATCTAAAATTACTACAAAATAAAAAGTTCATTAAAGAAAAAGAAATTGAAAAGCTTGTTCTAAAATGTATGGAAAAGCAAAGGACCTAGACTAGCCAAAACAATTTTGCTAAAGAAGAATAAGATATATAGACTACCTAATTTCATGACTTATTCTAAAGCTACAATAATCAAGACTGTGTGGTATTGGCATAAGGATAGACACATGGAAACAGAATGGAATAGAGAGCTCAATAATCGATCCCAATTTATAAGATCAAATGATTTGCCAATAACGTGCCAAGGTAGTCTAATGGGGAAAAGGGTAGTCTTTTCAACAAATGGTGCTAGAACAATTGAATATCTGTCTGGAAAAAATGATCTTTGATTCTTACATCAGCCTTGCACAGGAAATAACTTGGCATGGACTGCAGACCTAAATGTAAAAGCTAAAGCTATAAAACGTCTAAAAAAATTAAGAGAAAAATCTTTGTGACATTGAGTTAGGCCAGTGGTTCTCAACCAGGAGTAATTTGTCCTTCAAGGGACATTTGACAATGTCAGTTGTGACAACCAAAATAAAAAATTTTTGATTGTCACAACTGCAGTGGGGAGCACACTGTTTAATAAGTAGAGACAAGACATGCTCATAAACATTCTGCAATGCACAGGATAGCCTCCACAACAAAGAATTATCTGATCCCAATTATCAACAGTACAGAGGTTGAAAAAGCCTGGGTTAATCAAAGGTTTCTCAAATAGATAATAAAAATCATGAATCATAAAAGGAATCAATTGATAAAATCACCTTATGAAAATTTAAAACATTTTTCTGTGAATGATGTAGTTAAGAAAATGAAAAGGCATCTCAGAGTAAGCGGAGGTATTTGCAAAACATATATGTGACAGAAGGCTTGGATTCAGCATATATAAAGAACTCATATAGTTAATAATAAGAAAACAAACAACTTAATAAAAGTAGATAAAGGACAGATACTTTAAAAAAGAATATAAAAATATGGCTGATAAGCACATGAAAAGATACGCAATATCACTAGTCATCAGGGAAATGAAAATTAAAATCACTGCACGCTCAGTAGAATGGCTAAAATTAAAAAGCCTGGCAACAAAGTGTTGATAAAGATGTGGAGAAGTCGGAATGCTCATACATTAATGGTGGGATTGCAAAATGGTTCAGCTACTTTGGAAAACAACTTGGCTTTGCCTTATACAGTAAGCATATGCTTACCACAGGATCCAGCAGTCCTGCTTCCTAGGTATTGACCCAAGAGAAATGAAAACATATGTCCATAGAAAAATTTACAACTGCATTATTCATAATAGCCTCAAATGAAACAATCCAGTTGTCTATCAATTGAATAATGAATAAATTTGTGGCATAACCATACAATGGAATTTTATTTGGTAATAAAAAGGGAACAAAATACTTGTGCTAAGTGAAAGAAGTCACAAAATTATATTCTGTATGATCTCATTCACATGAAATTCTAAAAAAGGTAAAACTGTAGTGACAGAAAGTAGATCAGTGGTTGCCTGGGGCTTGGTGTCAAGGGAAGGGATCAACTGCAAAGAGGAGATTTTTTAGGGTACTGGAAATATTCTATAACTTGGCTGTAGTGATGATCCACAATTGATTATATACAATTAAAACTCTTCAAACCATACATTTAAAGTGAGTGAATTTTATGTTAGATTTAACCAGTAGAAAAAAATAATTTGAGACTTTGATATTAATAACACACTATTAAGAGACTATGAACCAAATAATAAAGGAAAAAAGTTAATTATCACCCCCAAACAGCTAAAGATAATTATTGTCATTGAGCACTAAATTTGGCTTCAAGGTTTCTGGTAGATAAAATAAAAATGAACAGTGCATGTGCTATATACTTTTCATTATGTCAGAAGGCTACACATTTTTATAAGCAGGAGGGTAGTCTTCTGTGAGAATTTTCACATAGGAACATTAAGCACCACACTGGGCAACATTTTCTAAAGGACTTTAAAAAGTCAGAAATATTCTTAATATGGTTGACTCCTTTTTTTTTTTTTAAGGTTGACTCTTATAATGACCATGAAGAAACCATGTTTTTTCTGGAAGCAAAAGTAAAGTACATAGTTTCCCATTGTTCAACCCCTTGGAGCAGTTTTTTGGATGTCAGTAACCTTACCAAGACAGTTAATATGAGCTGAGGAACAAAGGAGGAACTGTTGAAGTTCATGGAGCAGGACTGAGGTATGATCTAAAAAATGAGTCTTGTAGATGATGACATTTTTATGAGAATAGAACACCCACCCCAGTGGAACACATCTATCCCACGGGGTGTTTTATATGCTTAAATGTTTAGACAAGCATTCTGTTGAATTCCTAAATTTTATATCACAAGCAAAGAACACATATTCCATTGGTAAGTATCAATAGTTACCAGCTTTTTGTATGGAACTTTAATAGGGATCATGTGCAATGTTTTAATTTGACCTGGTCTGCAGCCTGATAAGCCTGCCAAGTTATCTTCAAGATATAACCTCAGATAATTACATTAGTTGACCTATTGAATTATTTAGTATTTTCCATTTGAGTGCTGCTGAAATTTGTATGTGGAAAATGAATATTTGGGTCTTGGCATACTTAATATTGGATCATTAATTTCTGAAGCAATTGATCAACAGATTCAGTTACTTCTTGTGGTCTTAGGTCATTAGCAGATGGGAGTAATTTTGCTTTCGCATTTACTGTACTAGGTCTGATTGCTTTGGTATTAGTGGAGAGGGTCTTTAAAGACAGTTATATTAAGTCCATTTTGGGGTTAGAATATGTTCTGTGAAGTGCTCATGTCTTCCTACTCCAAACACTTCTGCAATGGACTGAATGTTTATGTCTTTCCAAAATTCATATGTTGAAATCTTAGTTCCCAAAGTGATAGTGTTAGGAGGCAACAACTTTGAAAGATGATTAGTTCATGAGGGCAGATCCCTCAGCCATGTGAGGACAAAGGGAAAAGATACAGTCTATGACCCAAGAAGTGGGCTCTCATTAGACACCAAATCTCTGGGGCCTTGATATTGGATGTCTCAGTATCCAGAACTGTGAAAAATAGTATTTCTGTTGTTTATAAGCTATCCAGTTTATAGTACTTTCATTATAGAAACCAGAACATAATAAGACAACCTCTTATATTCTATGGATATAGAATATATATATAACTCAGCCATAAAAATGAAATAATATCATTTGCCATTTGCAGCAACATGGATGGACCTAGGGATTATTATACTAAGTGAAGTAAGTCAGACAGAGAAAGACAAATATATATGATATCACTTATATGTGGAATCTAAAAAAAGATACAAATGAATTTATTAACAAAATAGAAAAAGACTCATAGACATGGAAAACAAACTTATGGTTACCAAAGGGGAAAATGTGAGGGGAGGGATAAATTAAGAGTTTGGTATTAGCAGATACATACTACTACATATAAAATAGATCATAAACAAGGACCTACCGTATAGCCCAGAGAACTATATTCAATAGCTTGTAATAACCTATAATGAAAAGGAATCTGAAAAAGAATATATATATATATATATATATATATATATATATATATATATAAATCTGAATATAATATATATATTTGAATCACATTGCTATACATCTGAAACTAACACACGTTGTAAATCAACTGTACTTCAATTTAAAAAAGAAAGTATAGCCAATGGAACACCTCTATCTACATAACCTGCAATTCCTGGGCCCCCTCTCAGCCCAAATAAATCAGAATCTCTGTGGGTAAAGCCCAGGAATATACATTTTAACAAGCTCTACACATAATCTTTATGGACACTAAGGTCTGAGAATCAATTACTGTGCTGAGTCCTAGAGGGACCACATCACAAACATTAGGTTCAGTTCATTAGGTTAGTTCCATTAGGTTCAGTGAAATTGTGTGCCAAAGTCCCCTTGTGTAATAATCTCAGTGCTGACAATTTTTACATATAAGCTTCCAGAACAAACAGTCTCCAAAGAAACTACTATAAAATTATCAATGTACTGAAAATAATTATCACTGTTAAAGGAGGGCAGAAAGGAGGATGAGACTGATTTACCAGAGTTAGGAAAAGTATCATAGAGGAAATACCTGTGTTGGGTGTTACAGCACAAGCTTTTAGCTGGGTCAGCCAGTTTTGAAGCTTTGTCTTAGTCAGGATTCTTTCGGTATCATACTCAAGAGCTGGATGAATCAAGAAGTTGTTACCACTGCTGATTCTTAAAAAGTGTTGGCTTCTGCCATCCACTCTGGAGCCTGTAGAATGATGCCTTGTGACCAGCCTATTTCCTTCCATAGCTCACTTCTGCATCAAGGTCTTCCTTGGTGCAGCAAATGTGTATCATTTAAGTTAATATCTAGACACTAACTACAGAGGAGAATGGGAAATGCAGCTTTTTGTTTTTGTTTTTATGCTACCTTGGGAAGGTGAAATTGACAACGGAAGGAACTATCAAAACATGGAGTGAATAGTCAAGCGATTTTGAGCTGCTATGATGTTTATGTCTCCCACAGAGTCTAAGTCCAGAATCTAGGCTTTTAGCTACTCTGCTATACTGCTTCTACTGTGGCCAGTAATCTCATTGCCCATATCTGAGTCCTGCATAGATATATATACACACCACATCTTTATTCATTCATCTGTCGATGGACATTTAGATTGCTCCCATATCTTGGCTATTGTAGGCCATACTGTTACTGAGTCCAAATTTGTTCTGCTCACCTCATGACAGGCCAGTAAATCGGGAGATGAGGTTTTGGGGCAAGGAATAACGACTTTATTCAGAAAGCCGGCAGACCAAGAAGATGGCAGACTAACATCTTAGAGAGCCATCTTTGCCACATCAGAATTCAGGCTCCTTTTATATTCAAAAGGGAAGGAGGTATAGTTGTTGCAAACTTGATGTCAGAATCCTTTGTTCTTGCAGCTGTCTATGTGGGTCAGGTCATGGTATCCCTGTATACCTCCAACAAAACAAATGTTATTTTCTATCCTGCACCTTTTTGTCTTTATATGAATGGAAAAGTGTTAATACCCTTAAAGGTCAGAGCCTTGAGAATGGGCTATCCTGTGTATTTCAGGCTATAGGCAGCATTCTTTTACAAATGATGCAGAACAGCAAGACTAAGTCTAGGAAACAGAGCACAGGGTTAAAGCCAAAGGAACAGATTTATTATGAAGTCAGATTTTTTTTTCCTATTAAAATTCTTTTATAAACATTGAACTATACTTGAACTTTGTGTTTTATCTCATTCATCAATGTTAGCCCAATGCCTGGCACATGGTAGGTACTCTGTAAGTATTGGCTTAATGATTGAATTAGTTCATTGTGTGATAAATAGTAAAGGACAGAAATATTGAAAATGGTGACACTTTATCTATACATGTTTTGTTCAAAGTATAAAAATGCTTTGGAACCAAAGAAGCAAATTAGGCAATATTTTTCCATGTAGTGATTCAATAGCTTCTCTAAGGGTCAAACTTCTGGTTCAGTGGGTTTCCCACTAAAGTCGGGATTCATTTTCCATGCATGGTCGGACAGAAGATAGTACATAGTAATTTTTGATTCACATTTATCAGGGAAAATTGTACCCATGTCTGGCAAATTTATCACTAAAGAAGGTATCTTTTTCCAGAGCTTTAGAGCTTGTGTTCTGGCAGGACTTCTCTTCCTACTGCTTTTCTAGCCCTCCCCTCTGTGACATTATCTCTGGGTGTCAGGAGCTTAAATTTGAGAAAAACAGCATTCGTGAAATAGTACCTTCTAAGACACAATTATGTATTGCAAATGTGGGGATAACTTAACAATCACAGAACTCAAATAAAACTCAATTATTTCTTCAGCTTCTGCTCTTTGTCTGCCTGAGTTTTTTTGAATAGTTAGGCATGATAACAGAACCAAAAGAAGGTGAACATGGTTTGACATGAAAGAGAAAGATCAAGGATAAAGATCTATATGGCTCAGAGCACTCAGAATAGATGTACTCACCCAATGGCCCTAGTCATAGGGGTCTTGTACTGCTCATTTCCAGGTGTGGGAATTCTCGCTGTCATACAGGGTCTTGTTTGGATGACACTTCGTGTAGGAAGACTTTCTCAGTTTTCTCCCATTCACAGCCAGTAGGATCTCACCATCCTCAGAACCTCTATCTCATAGTTATTTCTGTGAATCCTATCTTTTCTGTCAAACTGTCAGCATTCTGAGGGTCATGTACCTGTACTAAATAAAGACTCTGTAAAAATGTGAGTGAGCCATTGTCAAAGGGCACATGTTTCCCTGTTGTTAATGGAAGGACTAGGACAGTTTGCTAAAATATACTAAAGAATTTTGAGAGAGTTTTGGTGGGGGTTGGAGGAGGGTGAGAATCTTAAGGTTAAGGAGAGTAGAGAGCTTCTGTAATGGGTGGTATAGCCATATAAAAGAATATAAATGACAAGAGAATAATCTTTTCAAGGCATATAAGTGAAGCTGTGATTCATTCACTTGTCTTTTTAAAAAACAACATAGTGAGATATATTTTACACATTACAAAATTCATCCATTGCAAGTGTACCATTCAGTGATTATTAATAACTTTACTGAGTGGTGCAGCCATCCACCATAAATCAGTTCTTGAACATGTTCATCCTCCCAACAAGATCCCTTATGCTTATTTACAATTATCCCCATTCCCATTCCCAGGCAACTACTAATCTATTTTATGTCTATAAATTTGTTTTTTTTGGACACTTTATATAAATAGAAGCATACAATATGATCTCTTGTATCTGGCTTTCTCTTTGTCAGATGTTTTTGAGTTTGTATGTGATATAGCATGTGTTGGTAGTTCCTTCCTTTATCTTGTCCAGTAGTATTCCATTATATGGGTATACCACATTTAATATATCTGTTCACCCATTGTTTGACGTTCAGGTTGTTTTCAGTGTAGGGCTCTTATAAATAATTCTGCTGTGAACATTTCTATGCTAGGCTTGGTATAGACATATGTTTTTATTTCTCTTGTGTAGATATCTAGGAGTGGAATTGCTGGGTTCTTTTGGTAGTTTTATGTTTAGCTTTTTAAGAAACTGCTAAAATGTTTTTCAGAGTACCTACACCATTTTGCATTCCCAGTAGCAATGTATGAGGGGTTCCCTTTCTTCACACCTCACAACATGTGTTACCGTCTGCCTTGTTTATTATAA